TTTTCAGACATCATTGCAAGTTTATAAATGCTAAAGCATCCATAAATGTCGTCGTTAAAGATTGTCTCATTTATTCAGCTTTCATTTTGTGGAACGTCGTTGCAATAAGCTTCATCATCTCACTTTATGTACATTATCTCCGAAAAAAAAATCACATTACGATATTTTGCTTTATAAACTCTTCGATCTACCCCTAGATCTAGAGTAGTAATATTTACCAGTACCTAGTTTGACTTTGTTCTAATATTACAAGACTTTTAATGCATAACTCGTGAAAAAATTGCCAACCTAGCGCGGCATTCTTTGTAACAAATGTCTTCGGCAAATACCACGAAGTAAAAAACATTATTACGATAATTAAATTGTTGTAATAACTCATTTTATTCTTATACGAAGTAAGCAACAGTGATGAAGTTCTCTCAGCGAAATACGTGCAATGCAACGGAGTTTATATAACACACAGGACATGTTCGGGTGTGAAAGTTAAGTGACGAAAGAACGTGAATTTCTCGGAATTTTAATATTTAGCCCTGAAGAAGGAAGCAGTATGCTTCTCCGAAACGTTGGTGTCTAACTAAAGTTTCACCCAGCGTCACATTGTATAGCGTGTTTAACGTGCTTTGTTATCATAAGTTTATTTAACTGAACTCATTTTTAAACATTTTCTTTTTGCGTGTTGTAGAGAAAGATTAATCTGTGTACGAAATTTTGTAGAATGTGTGTTTAAAAAGGTTCTGAGAGAACGTCATCATGACAAATGTTGCCCTGAACACATTGGAGATTTTTTTTTCGCACAGTGATCTTGTGTACACTGCATTCACAATAAACTTGAACTTTCAGAAGTTGACTGACGTTTTCCAGACAAACTGCGTTTTTCTTTAAAGACGGCTTCAGCTTCACGCAGTTGTGAAGCAAAGTCAATCTTCAAGTTTCCATGAAATGTTAACAACTCTCCATGTCACTTTGAACTTCTCTACGCCCCAAAATTGTCTTCCTCAATGTTTTATGTGCATCGTTTTCTGTCAAGCTTGAGCTGATCTATTAAAACACGTTTAGGGGTCCTTATGTATAATCTGCGTCGTATTATTGTTCAAATTGTCTGACTGACTGTGCTGCATCAATAAGGAAGGTATTTAGCATCAGTAACAACTTAAGTCCCCCTAATGATACCATCTTACGGTATTATTTTTATTATTGTAAATTGGTCACAAAAACCGGAGTGCATTAAACTTGGTGGCACAAAAAGCCACCCTGTTTTTGACAGCAGCGCACACAAGTGCCAGACGGCAAGACCAGTCATTGAATTTCAGATGTATTTTTTTTTTTTTTTTTTTTTTTTTTGCGTGGGCTAGAAATTTCCTTCTCATAGAAGTTTTATATTTCGGCTTGAGACTTGTTTCTGGTAAATTTATAGAATAATTTTCTTGTGAGATAATTTTATCTTTTGCAGCATTTCGAATATCTGCAGATCGACGAACAATTCTTGTATTAGGAGTCGCTAAAGATCGATTCGTCATATCGAAATGATGTTGGATATTGTTAATTGCGTATGAAACCGAACAACTTCTGGAAAATTGTGTTCATTTTTATATGGAGTCTTTAATTAAATAATATTCTTATTCTGTCGCTGTAAACTTGGTCTCTTTCCTAAACGTTGATCCACTTTGGCAGTTAAGAAATTACGTATATCACACTACTGCGAAAAACATTTAAATCAAAAATGAATTTGATTTTATATTACCCAAACATTCGAGGCACTGTAGTTCGGAATGACAGCTTTAGAAGTGCTGAGCAGGCGAACTTTGAAATACCTATTCTCACTTATTCCACATGCCAAAATAAAGGAACCCGCATGAAGAAGGCAGTGATTATTATCGTTCGACTCTAAGGAACGTCATGACGTTTAATATTACTTCCAATGGATTTCTGATTTTAGTGCGTAATTAAATTCCTTGTCTCCTTAGATACAATCGCTGAGTTTCTCCACACTCACAGTGGCCTTTCAGAAGCCAGTCTCTTGAAAATGGCGGGAGGCACTTTTAAGGGACCCTTACACGCACTTGTATGCTCATAGTTTCCCTGATTAGCACCAGGGAACGTGCTCAAAATACGCCAAGTTGCAATTTCTTTACGTATGAAATAATCGTGTGCTGGTCAGTGTAAGATTAATAATTTTTCTTTTAACAACTGCAAAGACAAAAGAGTGACTCCGCGCGACTCGTAGGTAGATAGATATCAGTGTTTCGGAGAGAAATACTGCTTCCATCGCAATTCCTACCTACGGCTTCTCACGGCGTCACAACCCGGAAGCACAACACGGTAGCGTTCGTTGCCGTGAGAAATTCAGATCTCAAAATAAATCCTATCGAGTTCTGATCGCCATTCGTAATCATGGAAAATAAGATATTTGTTAAGCACTTTACTAATTTTATCGATAAAAATATTAGCGTTAATATAATATCGATTAGTCGACGCGGTTAGATATTGTCGACTTATTAGTATCGTTTAGATGTTCTAGAAAACGCTGCTTAGGATAATAAAACAATTGAGCTTCAGTTGCAAGTATTACGCCAGCAAATTATCCTTCTTCTCTTTTTTTATAAGACTGTTTATTTACAAATTTTATTACGTTCTAAGGAATTTCATTTTCCAGAAACTACGTCTATTTCTTGCATTCAGCCATTTTACTACTTACAGTAAAAAAAAATTAAGCAACAAACCTCCAGCAATTCTTAAACGCAATGCTCAAATAATTCCTGAAACCTTTAAGGAAAAATTGTATAAATAATTTGAAATTTACTCGATTAATACATAGAATACTCCAAGGTTTATTGCAAACTTCACTGAGACATTATTAATAGATAATGCAAATGGAATTGAATCTGAATATATGTAAAAAGCTATGAGCCGGGATAGCTCAGTCAGTATAGTGACTAGCTACGGGCTGGACGACCGGGGTTCGATCCCCGACGGGGGCAGAAGATTTTTCCTCTAGCCTCTGCGTCCAGACCGGCTCTGGGGCCCACCCAGCCTCCTCTACAATGGGTACCGGGGTCCTTTCCCGGGGGTAAAGCCGGCCGGGGCGTGATGCTGACCACTCACCCCCATCTAGTGCCGAGGTCAAGGAAGAGAGGAGCTATACCTCCACTCCCCCCAAACGCCTACATGGCGTATAGCGGGACAAACTTTACTTTATATGTAAAAAGCTAGATTAATTTTAGCCGATTAATAAACTGATATATGTCCTACATATATCTCCTAGACTCATATTAGACCCAAAATTTTTGCGTCTGTTTAATTTGTCACGTCGCATGTTACAAAACCGTATTTATTAAGTTTTAATTCGTAATTTATCTTTCTTTAAAAATCCGAAAGCACCCTTAATAATCGCAGTTTTTCAGATACCACTGTGAAGGGAAGTAAAAAGTTAAAGGTACTTCGAAGGTGATGTCAGCACTGAACTTAAACAATACGAGCCCTCCGTAATTTGCATCTAGTTGGTTTTTAGTGTCTTTTGAGCAGAGATAATATTGTGGGAAGTTTAAGATGGCTGCTTCATTGTTAGAATGCATCAATAAAGAACTAATGTCTGTAATCCGATTTGTGTGTATTATGGTCGGGAGTCCTGAGGGGAAGAGACCTCTGGGGAGACCTAGACGTAGATGGGAGGATAATCTCAGGCGGGATCTATGGGAGATAGGAGTTGAAGGAGACTGGATTTTGTTGGCCCAGGACAGGGACCGGTGGAGGGTTTTGGTTAATTCGTGATGAACCTTCGGGTTCCGTAAGCCATCTGGTTGGTTGGGTCCACTATTTGGGAAACCTGAGGGGAAGAGACCTCTGGGGAGACCTAGACGTAGATGGGAGGATAATCTCAGGCGGGATCTATGGGAGATAGGAGTTGAAGGAGACTGGATTTTGTTGGCCCAGGACAGGGTCCGGTGGAGGGCTTTGGTTAATTCGGTGATGAACCTTCGGGTTCCGTAAGCCATCTGGTTAGTGAAAATTATGGAACACCCTGTGAAGCAGACGAAAGATTCAAATGGGAGTACAGGAACGTTATTGATGGTCATACGTTGCTGTTATCGACTGTAATATGTGTTGGTTGTTATTAAGTGTCAGCTCAATCAGCGTATCCACTGCTACGAAACCTGTGGGCCGCGGACCATATGTACTGAAAGACAGGATAACTAGCACGTCGATAACAGAGATATGTATGTGTCGTTAATCTGCCGGAATGCATAATAAGATTGCCTTTAAACCTTGTACTTGTCTTCACACAGTCATTTTGCTGATCGTCTCTTTTAATAATGGCTTCGTTTGGTCCGCTATAAACTTCTGTCTAACATGGAAATGTAAAAATTAAATCGATTCCTTATCACAATATAACACAACGAACTGCCTAAATATTCGATATCAATTCTGTATGTTACGTAAAGGTCTAATTGCAGCTTTCGATAAAAATCGTATCGAGGTGACATCGATATCTTCACAACATGGCCGACTACAAATTGTGCGTTTAAGTTCGATGCTATTAAGGCTTACGCAGAGAACAAGCGTGCAGTTTAATCTGAACTTAGGTAACATAGGTAACGAGATTTGGCAATTGATGGACAGAATTTCCGTCGCGTCGTCCTTTGTGCGTTGCGGTATTTCAATATGGCTGTCAAGACAAGTTACTGAACTCATTTACAATCGAAACATAGGCGTTGGCTAGACCTGGTTCCGATGAGCTCCCTAACCCAGCTGCCATGAACCGAAATTTTACGAAAGCAGGAAGTTAATGGACACCTCGTCACCAAAGGCCTCGTCCTGAGTTTGCCGACGAAGAAAATGTCTCCAAGATATGAAGAAAAGGGACGAATGTATTGAATAAGTAATAACGGGATGCTGAGGTTAAGAGCTATTCCTTAATTTTACCATAAGTCTTCACGGCGTGGTGCTTAATTAAGGACAATCTTTACTTTACTGTACAACTCAAGCGAAGTACCGAATTCTGCTTACATTGTATTATTTTTTATTTATATTCACACATGACAAAGTTCAAAGATGAGGTTCTTTGTGACTACTTTGTTAAAGAAGAGAATTTGTTGAATAAATCCTGACTTAACCAGTCTGTTAGCCTATGTTCCGATATTGCACTTAATACATTTTGATTTTTTTCATGTGCAGTGGTGTTTATATTACAAAGCAACTAGTAATAAATAATTTGCCGTACATGATTTACGTTTTAGTGGAATTACGATGAATTACGAAGAGGAGTTATCCATTTGAGGCTAAAAAAACTCAGCAGTTAGAGAAATGAGTACAGGAAATTCGAAGACTGTCGACAGTCGAAATCACAGTGATCTTCACTACCTTCGATTATCTCGAATCGCCGCATATGTTAATTAGCTTGTGTGCCGATGGCGTGGTATCTCAGTTAAAACCGCTGCGAAACCTTATAAATATCAAATTGTAGGCGATCTTGCTGCGAAGTGCTGAGTTGCGAATCGAAGCGGCGCCATTGTCACACAGTGGTGACTCGGTCGACCTCCACGTAGCGCACAGAATTGTCGCTGTGTCAGCAGATAACTTCTTTACCGATCGTCGACGCTTCTGAGGGCAAACTCTTGATACGACGGTGGTGTGTGGAGTGCCTCTGACGTCGACAGGCGCTGCAGGCAATGAGGCACAGGGAGCAACAGATCACAAGGATGCCAGCCGCCCCCAAGGCGAGGTACAGTAAAGGAAGCCGTAGGATGAACGAACAGTGCTTCGCGGCCTCGTCGTAGCCAGACGGACAGTGGGACACCCCGTCGCACCACAACGACGAGTTTATACACGCGTCGAGTTCTGGACACCGGTGCACGCAGTCTTCCATGACATAGCCAGCAGGAGGCAACACCGACCGTCTGCAATGACAATTAATCTGTGTCATCTGCGAATTGTTATAATCTTGCAAAGCAGAAATATTTGCTGGAGCTCATAGGCATTGCTTAAGAAACACGAAGTTTAAGACCCGGTCTCCCATCTGCAAATCTGAACATTAAAACACACAACACTCCGATTTCTTATGACTTGAAATGTAGTTCTCAGGCGATTCACCGTCGTCTAGTTACGAATGACCCGCGACTTAAAAATCTGGACGATGACACGGTGACACGCGACAAAAGCAATACCACCCAGATGATAGTCGGCATGACCTACCTTCTCGCGAGTTCCAGCCAGGTGAGCGAATACGAACCGGCCTCGTGCGCCAGGAACTCGACTGTGACGCTCCGCGACTGCTGGCCCACCTGGTCCTCGGTGGAGAAAACGGGATGGTGCACCAGTTTGGTGCCGCTGATAACCCAGCCTTCGGAGAACACCTCTACTATGTGGTGTCTCTGTGACATGGGGGGTTGGGGACAGACCACGACGTGGACCGAACCTCCCGAGTGCAGAGCGATCCTGTTCCGCGTGCCGCACACCGCTTGCTGCTGGTGTGCTTGATCGTTGGTGTCGTTGACCTGGTCGGCCGAGACCCACCGCTGCTGAAGCGGGACACCGCGCATTTTGACGTACAGGTAGCGGCCGGCGGCCGGTTCGATGAGCCACGGGTGATTCTCGCAGTTCACCTGCAAGCGGAAGAACACTCGACGTCAACCGGGACAGGGCAACGTTGAATTAGCTTCAGTTAACGCGATGAATTTCTTCGCGAAGGCGATTCAAAATAGCTTACGTCAGACCTTTAAATCCCAGATGTATGTGTCACGTGCTTTGATTACCTGTAACTCAACATAGTCTATCTATGGGTTTAGTCAGATTTCTAAGTGTAAACAGCGATTATTTCGTTAAACAGCGTTAACTAGTTGATCTTTCTAATGGTGAAGTGTAGTGTTTTCTTCGCGGTACGCACTGAATTCTTAAATATTATTTAGATACCTGGGTTTCGTGCGATTCTCAATGTAAACAGCGATTATCTCCTTAAACAGCGTTAACCAGTTGATCTACGTAATGGTGAAGTGTAGTGTTTTCTTCGCGGTACGGACTGAATTCTTAAATATTATTTACACAAGCTTCGGCTTCAAAATGGTTAAGTTTATGAACTGCTATTCCTCTAATGCGATAATGCAGTCTTCGTCGTGAAAGGAGTCAGAGACTTAAGGTAGGAGTTGGGAGTCAGGACGCACCTCCTCTGGCGTCCTGCTCGGCGATCGGAACTTGATCTCCCCACTTGCCCCAGACAGCCTCTGTTTTCTGGCGCACACGGGAGTTCTTATGAATTCCCAGCTACCTTCGAAGTTGAAGTTGTTGAAATCATCTGAGGCGTTCATGCCAGTGACGGTGAATAGCAATTCTACGACGTGAGACGTCGAGACGAACGTGAAGGGGAGCATTTGGCGCGTTGATGAACACAGGCAGTCGCGTTCTAGGGGCTGGTTGTCGGCCCACGGCTGTTCGTAGACGCGTAGTGACGCCGTGCAGTCTGCGTCGCACTGAAAGCGCCCCAGGTCTGGTTGAAGCACGTTCGAGCAGCGACGACCTCCTGTCTGCAAACGGGTTATCCTGAGCTTGACGCGCTCGCCACGTTGCGCCTCGAAACGGTACGTGCAACTATCAAAAAGAGCAAAGCCAATTATCTTCCCCGTGCATGGTACACGTCCTACTAACCTCATCCTCGTGGATTTAATCACCGGAATACTATCTGATTAAGAGTACAAATTATAAATCTCCTCGATACACACTTCAATTTCACTCAGGACTCTGACACAGACGCAGTTCTGAGCACACCTGTACTGCGGATTGCATTTACCTCATATTAGGCGACCCCCCTCTTCCGTAGAGGAACACGTTTCTCGGTGCCTTAAAATTCTGCGTCATTTCTGGTAATGGGGCCTGCGATCGTCTGACGAATTTCCTGGAGCACGGTCCAGTGCCGTACTGCTCGCCGTCTACATGAAGGTCGACGAACTCGTAGAAGGCTCGGAAAGAGACTGGTCTGAAACGCAAATCAACTACTTTCGTTTGAATAAACACCGCGAACGGTATATTGTTTGTTGTGGGCGAATTATTGATAACGTTATAACAACTTCAGGATCCACTTACATTTTCCAACCCCTTGAAAACTAGTGGTAGCTATATGTACCACCTGTTTAAAAAATCAGTGACATTGAATTTTCTAATTTGCGTTTTGTTATTTCCGATGTTTACAGCGAATATTTCCTTAAACAGCGTTAACCAATTGATCTTTGTAATGGTGAAGTGTAGTGTTTTCTTCGCGGTACGGGCTGAATTCTTTAAATATTATTTAGATTAATTTCGGAATTTGAAGGGTTAAAGATTCTCAAGTGGAAATTGTGAAGCATTCCCCACACAGTTGCTTGTGGAATCTACGAAATGTCTGCACGTACCTGAGGGCCGTGGATTCTGCCAGGCGTAGTTCCAGGGTCAGGCTGTCGCCCGAGGACAAGAAGCTCTCAGCCAGGGAACATGGTCGTGGTAGGCGCGTGCTGTTGGCGAGGAGCTTGTGGTCGCAGCTGCGAGGCACACGGTCCTTGCAGAACGTGGCGAGAAGCGTGGCATTGCCCGCCTCTGTGGCCGTCACAAGCACCTTGTTCCCACTGCCGCTGCCAGTTATAACGGCAGGGTACCGCGCCATTTTGTCTGTCCCGGTCACAGGGTCACTGCTGTGGAGACACACAGCACGTGTCAATCTCACGCTCGAAAAGGACGGGAGGCTACGTCATGTAACCATTAGACAGTGTTTCAGAGACCGACCTGAGAACCTCAGATCTTAATTGTGGGAGATCGATTTAATCCGATTAAAAATATTATATATGTGGGGTAATAGCCTTTCCTGTGCGTTTGTAAGGAAAACGGCGTTGTACGAAACGCAGAAGAAAGGAGGCGGTAGAAATGCTTTTTTCTCGGATACAGAATAATGGATCATAAATATGATAAAGATAATAGAGAAGAACTGGAAATAACTGGTGTTAGCTCGTTAATAAGAAGACTGTCCCCCGAGATGAATTACCGCTACAGACGGAGGGACAGAAGTTGGCGTGGGACAGTCTTGATCCCTGTAACGGGAACACGGCACAATATGTTGGTTGGAAAGCCTGAGGGGAAAAGAACACTCGGAAGACCTAGACATAGACGGGGGATAAGATTAAATCGATATCAGAGAAATATGTTTGGAGAGTGTGTATTAGACTCGTCTGGCTTAGGATGGGGACCGGAGTTAGGCTTTTGTAAACACGGTAATGAACCTTCGGGTTCCATTAAAGGCGGGGGAAATTGTTGAATAGCTGAGAAACTACAAGCTTCACAAGAAGGACGACTTTGCTCCATGGAGTTAGTTACCAACCGAAAGAGGCGACCAACGACGTTTTCCGCCACGAAAGCCTCTACTTACCATACTATGTCATTGCACTTCGTTGATTCCTGTATCTTCTTCAGGGCGCCATCCCAGATGTTTAGTTGACTCGTGCAGCCTTCCTCCTCCTGCAGCTGAGGATCGATTGTGGACGAGACGTGGAACTTGAGTATCGATATCCAGACTTTGTATCTGGGTGGGGGAGGACGCAAGTCCGCAGGATACTGCAATGGCAGAATTGGGGTCTTCGCCCCCTGCAGGTGGTAGAGGCACGTCGTATTGCGAGGCAGTGAGTGCTGAGGCGTCTCCAGAGTCCCCTTGTTCGATCCCCGTATCCAGAACTCGCAACGCTTGTTTCTGGCGAACGTCGGAGAATGTTGGTCCACGAACCGTACCTCAAAGAAAACACCAGTTGCTGGGTTATGTCAGGGGAGTGTCTTTGTACCTAGTAAAATATTATTATTTCGGTCATGTGTGATGATGTTGCTCTTATTGTGGTATCTGAAGCCAGGATTTCGTGAATTTCTTTCCAATGTAATTGTTACATATTTTTTTCTCCGTTGCAAGGATCAACTGGTTAACCCTTTAAAACCCAAAGCTCGTCTAAATAATATTTAAGAATTCAGTCCGTACCGCGAAGAAAACACTACACTTCACCATTACAAATATCAAATGGTTAATGCTGTTTAGGAAAATAATTGCTTTTTACAATGACAATCGTAAGAAATCCATAAATATCAATGCTTGAAAGGGCTAAGATCAGGCAAAACGTAACCTCATTCTCAAATACTGTAGAATGTGAGCGGGGGAAGAGGGGATGTTTAAAAACGTAGATTCTGGCGGCCGGTCCCAATTCTGTCGCCGCGTTTTCTTACTTGTATTTCTAGCTGGAACCCGTGCAGGGCTTGGAGAGGGGCGGGGTACACGAAGGTGCCGTAGGGGGAGCTCGTGAACTCTACCAGGAGCTCCGGGCCGCTGGACACCGCCTCCGGCACCGCCTCTCCGCCCCCGCAGAACTTGAGGAGCACCGCGTCGCGGGTCGTGTAGCCGTCGTACACCGTCACGTAATCTTGTACGTCGTCGCATTCCGACCACACCTGTCGAAACGGCGGAATTAACGCGGGGTGTGACTCAGAATTTGACTGTTGATGAATGAGAGACGAAAATGAAGACGGCTGTCTTCTGGGGTTTAAGTTAACCGACGTTTCAGAGGTACTTGCTGCCTCCGAGCTCTTCGCCGTGGAAATGGAGGCGGCAAGCAACTCTGAAACGTCGGCTAACTTACACCAGACTATAAGGCGTTACATACCTAGAAGGCAGCCGTCTTCATATTCGTCACTGTGAGAATTTGAAATTGTACCAAGTAAAATTATTTCTGATTTTAAGTTTTTACGGTGCATAGAAACAGTTGTTTTAAGGACATTTCTTGCATCCGCGTAATTCACATATTCTGATTCAAATATCGGAAGAAACATTTAGCTTCGAGAGTCGTGTAATTTTTTGTTAATGTCGTGTCCCGAAAAGTGTGTCTCCCCCCCTGGGGGCTGTGCTCTGGTAACCGAATTGTTACTTGCTCTGCGAATTCTCAGTTTTGCAGCCTAAGAGGAATCTGTAAATTGCCTCACGAATGCCGTCTCTCTGGTGATACATTTATTATTATTATTATTATTATTATTTTTATGTCTACTGTGACGATGAGTTTTCTTAATGGAATATACACAAGTTCAACGTATTTTATTTGTGAACGACGAATATCACTATGGACTGGAATCCTTCTAGAGAATTTGATAGTCGCTCGGCGGCAAAGTGACTGACCTCAAGCAAGATAACAGGGGTTGACTCCCTTTAAGAGGGGGGGGGTGTAAATCTTCCTCTTCGCCAGCACTGTGTTCAGACCGGTCGTGAGGCACCAGAGCATGGAACTGAGCTCTCGTCTCCATCAACTGCCGAGACTAGGAATGCGTGGAGCTTTACCTCCACGCCCATACCTTGAGTTCCCTGGTGCGATGCTGTTGCTGTTGTTGCTGACTGCTTTGCCCGTACAAGGCCGACTGACTGCGGATGGCCACGAGGTGGCCTTCAGGCTGCCGCACGGCGATCAGAGCCTGCTTGCCTGCAGGCACGTCGTGCTGCCGGACGGCGTAGTAGCACGTCAGGTTCCGCGGGTAGATGCCGGGGAAGTTGGGAGACTGCAGCCGGCAAGTCTTGCGGTCGCAGTCCGTGAACAGCCGAGAACAGTACGTCCCCGACATCAGGTCGCCGAGGTCGTACTGAGGACGCGGCGTAGGGGTCGCTGTTGGGGAACTTACTGGCGTTGTCAGGGGAACTGGTGTGCTCAGGTTCAAATAGGCCACGGTGTGAAGAGTCCCTGCAGGAATAAGAACAGACTCTTCAGCTCCATGGAGCACAGTTGCTTCTTGAGACCCTGCTAGTCGCACAGCTGGTCAAGAAAGTCCCTCTCAGAAAGTTTCACGTTACAATCTTCACAACAGCCGGCCACCTGACCGTGTGCTGACTAATTTTAATCTAGTCCACGCTTATCATTGTAATATCTACGTCCAGATCTTTCAAGTGAACTCTTTCCTCCAGGTGTTAAAGCTATAATTTTGTATGAATTTTTCATCTCCCCTCTACGCGTGTGCCAGATCCCCCAATTAGTCATCATTTAATCGACTAATTTTTGGTTAGAAAACCTGAAGAGGAGAGAACACTCGGTAAACCTAGGTAAAAATTGGGAGATAATATTAAAATTGATTTTATGCAAATAAGATGTGACTTGAATTCATCTGGCTTAGGATAGGCACCAGTGGCTGACTTTCGTGAACACTGAAATGAACCTTCGGTTTCCTTGAAAGGCTTGGCTGCCTGAGCTACTGTCAGCTTCTCAAGAAGGATTCTAATGCACGTAGTTGGTAGTGGGCACGTACAGAAGAATGTTGAGACGAAAGAGATATTCTTTTTAAGAGTTAATGGCTTCACACGTAAAACACTGACTTTTGTGTGATAATAGGGGAAAATAAAAAAGTTCTGGGTGCTTTTAAAACATTTAATTTTCCTCTTGAAACTCCTCGTTTCGAGACTTTTTGCTCCGTTGGTACGCGAGCCAATGTAGGTGGTTCCAGTCAGATTATAGATTCTCTACGTACAACTGAACTATAACAGAGTCCGAAATTTTTTTTTTCCCGATATACAAAACCGCCACGCAGTGGCAGAACCTGCAGTTGTGTTTTAAACATTGCATGATGCGATTTCCAACTACAGCAGGACTATTTCAGGTTTGCCAACGTGCCCAGGAAAAACATTCCGGTTGAGCTTTTACTAATTTGCTGACACCATGGGATATAGACCTTACGAAACGTACAGTCTTTCAGCTGCCCATAATTTTTCTCCTAATAAGGAACCCTAAAGTTGAATGCCCTCTTCAAAAGAACCCACAATTGATTCATATATTGTACCAGCAGAATCCAGTCCACACCCTTATACCATATTTTAAAACCTATTATAATACGTATTTTCCTCCTACGTATTCCTGGTCTCACAAGCAGATAAATGAAATGTCTTTATAACTATGGATAAAATTAATTAGGGAACATACTGACATTCAGTTGGTACTAATCTATTTTGATATTATTATCCACCGTCTTCCAAGGGGTACCTTTTCTTTGAAAACACCCACAGAACATTCACTATATGAAACCGATGCTCGTCTGAATCATATTTAAGAATTAGGTCCGTACCGCAAAGAAAACACAACTCTTCACTATTACAAAGATCAACTGGTTAAAACTTTAAAGCCGAAGATCGTCTAAATAACATTTATGAATACGGTCCGTACCGCGAAGAAAACACTACACTTCACCATTACAAAGATCGACTGGTTAACGCTGTTTAAGGAAATAATCGCTGTTTATAATGAGAATCGCACGAAACCCATACATACACTACGTAGGAATCTGAATAATATTTAAAGATTCAGTCCGTACCGCGAAGAAAACACAACTCTTCACCATTAAAGATATCAGCCGTGTACTGACCTGGCAGGGATCCTCCGTACCGCACGACGGCTGCGTCTCGAGGCAGCATCTTGTAACCCATTCGGTAGTCGAAGTTGTAACCCGTCTGGTCGCTGGCCAACCGCGTGAGGCGCAGAGCTAGGCTCACCGCACGGGTCTCGCTGTAGTAGAGGGCTGCGCCCCCCGAGGTGCCACACCAGGAGCCGCCGACCACCGGACGGTCCGCCTCTGAGATCTGCAGCGACCCGTCCGGACACCCTCCGGCCGTGAAGGATAAGAACCGACCGAGGGTGAAACTGTCGAAGGTCAGCTGCCAACAGACACAGTGGTTGGAGCTCAAGAAAGTCTGTCACTCGTAAAACTGGTCTTTTACGTCAAGGGAAGAACACAAGAGTGAAGTTGTTTGATGGTGTTAAAATGAATGCTTCAACCACCGAGATATTCCGTGCGGTAACACGTAGCCGGAGGAAACTGCGTAATGATGAACTTCATAATTTGCGGCGTTCACCAGATATTATATTTGTAAACTGGGTGGGATCTGAGATATACGCACAATATTTCAGTCCGGAAAACCAAATGAGAGAGCGAGACCTAGATGTGATAAAATATAAAAATTTTCGGGGATGTTTAGGAATCGTGTAATTAAAACACGTGGTTTCAGTAGCCAAGGGTCATTCAAATGCACAGATGAAGTCCAACATTTGTCACGCTGGCCTCACATCGGAACAGAGCGTCCTGTTCTGTCTCATTGACTGCCCCGTAACCACAAAACCACGTGGCTTATCCGAAGTCGCACGGCCAAATCTGTCTGAACCGCAGAGATTACTCCCACGCCCGTCCCTCGGCTCAGGAACAGAGCGGCGAGAATAATTGGAATTGAAATGGGTTGTGTGATCAGGCAACGTTTGTTTCTCTGAGAGTCGGGGGGGAAAGTTGGTGTTCCGGGGGAAATATTACGACCGTCCTGAGTAGTAATTGCTGTGATGATACTCTGGAACATGTTTTGACCTTAGCTCGTGAACCAGGACCCAGTAATATGATGAGAAAATAATTTTAATAATTGACAAAGATAGTTCGTCGTACACCATCATGGTTTGGAGGTTTCCTTTTTTTAAAAACAAAAATTTGATTTGATGATCATTTGTCAGTATTGTCTGACTTTAAATTTTACTAATCGTTACAAATTAGTGTATTTCTAGATTGTTCTACTACACTGTATGAACAGAATAAAAGATGTTTAGTAGAAGACAGAATTTGCCGGTTCTACGATAGGATATTAACTAAATAGGTGATTCTCAGTAAAAATACAGCTCCATATTTTAGATGCTTAAACACTTCAAATGCTCTTCTCTTAAAATTACAAATTCCAGCTATAAAATCCGGTAACTTTTTTATATAACACTACAAATTTAGACATGGAAACTTTATCGATAAAACTATCTTCTTGAAGATGGATCAAATTTAAAATAAGTTCAGAGACTCAAAAATACAGGCGTTATATACAAAGTGAGATTAGTTAGAGTTAAGAAGATTTTTGTTCCGGACCGACTAGACGCTGGCAAACTACAAGTAATGAGAAATGCATTACTTTTATTACTAAGGAGTTTATCGGAGTTTTCTTGGTTTAAAACTGAACATTCATCTTCTGCGAGGTTCTCGCATGCCGGATGGCTGTTCGGTCGTCCATAAAAGTAAGTACTCTTCACAGTTCCTTTAGTGGTAAATCATTTTTCTTACTAAATTTACTCACGTAATGTCTCTGTTGCGACTTTTGAAGGGGAACTTGGTTAAGTACCTTATTCTATGATGGAGACGCGAGGGACTGCTTTAAAGTTGCTGCTTTCATTTTGTTACATTATTCTAGAATTGAGAAGAACTTTAGGCGGGAAGATATTTATTTAAAAAAAAAAACTTCCCCAGCATCGTGATGAAACGAACAGTGCAAAAGACAGCGAAGTTACGATTATTTTTAAAACCGACTCTTGGGTTGTGTAAGATGTGACCCATATTTGCATTTCGATTTTTTTATTTACCTCAAGGTGTAACACAGTTCCACGCTGGAGACTGCGTTAAACTACTTTCATGACGTCACAATTATTCTTGTCTGTCGTGTGCTGGATTCGAAATCCTGACTGCTAACTTTACTTCCGGTCTTCTCTGCAGCATTGTTCTGATTCCGGTACATTTGTGTGACGTCACAATCGTTATATGACGTAGAATGGAGCAGAAAACTTGTCAGGCCTTCATACAGAATGCAGAAACAAGCTGGGCTAATGAACCGCGTTGTAATTCAGAACAGGGGGCTCCAAAGTAAAGAATTTGCCTTGCAATCCTATTCAGTAGCCAGACAAGTTGTAGGCTCCTGACACTTGACTGTACGGCGTCATAATAATAATAATAATAATATAGAATACGACGTTTTAAGTGGTATTTACGCTTTATCACTCGGGCACACCCATGTCTGTCCGTCGTATTTTATAACATTTTTGCAACAACGGTCTTATATACCATCGTCGCTTGTAATTTGACGTATAGAACACCTTAAGAATGTTTATGTACTCCAAAGAGTACACATTTTCTTATCGTTTCAGTCTACTTTCATAGAAAAGTCAATACTTGCCCTGTCCGAATGAAAATTTCTCAAACCCATTGCTTTAAAAATTATTTTAATATTATATTCTGAGCTTCAAATTGGTCTTTTACCGAAAGGCATTAAAATTAGATGTTTGTATGCATTTCTACTTTTTTCTCACGCGTGCTTAATGCCCAGATTTGATCGCCGTAATGATATTTGGCGAGAAATTAAAATTAAAATTAAGAAGCTCGTGATTACTGAGTCTTCTCCTGTCACTACTTTCCCCTCGTCCTTTCCCCTCCTCCGCCCCGCAACAGTGAGGGCGCAGACTTATTTATCGTGAACAGTTTGTTCGGGGCATTAGGGTAAAATGGCTGTGTCCTTGCATTTTTCTCTGGGGCGACTTTTTCGTTTAATAAATCACGACTAAATGTCGTATAAAACTTGTGTGTTCATGTGGGTTGGAGCGGGGGTGGGGGGTGGGGGGGTCTTCTTCTTGTTACGTCAGAGCGGGTTCTGTCCAATCCTGTCGCAGCAATAAACCAGCGGTCCAGAATAATCTCGGACCCAGCGTATAAAATTCTGATTTGTCAAAAACAGAATGTTTGTTTGTCTTCCCTCGCGCTGAGTGGTTAACCCCGATTTGTGAATTTTTTTAAGAAGGGGTATTCGCCACTTTTCCTTTTAAATACGAGGTACGTGATTGGTAATAGTATTCCCATATTTAGCCAAAATTTTACCATTCCGAATCCCTCGGGAGTAACGCGGCAAATCTCTGGAAATGTTCCCTGGTTCTACGACACGCATTTCTTGCCCTATTTTTTTTTTATCGGAGACGCCGAATAAATATAAAAACGCTGTTGGAGAAAGGAAGAAGAAATGATGTTAAAAAAAACAAAAATATTAAAATAAGGGATAGTTACGCCAGTTGCCTATAGAGCGAACCACGCTTTGTGTTTGATAAACTGCAGGGTGCAGGTCATTTGAACTTCCTACGGCTCTGCGTTGCCACGGTTACCAGAATAATCTCGCGCTGTGTCGCTGATTCGGCCTCACATTCGGGCCGTGTGACATGATTAGGCTTGCTGAGATAAGTACGGAGTGCGAGGATTTGTTTCCAGCGAACGAGAAACATTTAAAACCGAATAAAATCGGTTTTCGTCGTTCTCTTGAGGTAGAAAACTTCGCATCGATACCAGGACTTGTGTATTCGAAGCGCGTAGAAGTTTCTTTTGCGTCCGATTCTGCAAAGCTTAAAAGTTGATCCCTTTGAGTGAACACATTTCCCAATCATTTACATTCTGTTGTACGTGCAGCAGAGTTTCTCTTGAGAAACTGATGGTCGTTTAGCTGCTCAAGATTCTCTTCTTATAGCACCCGAACGTCTATTACCACGTTCAATAGAAACCAACCACTGAGCCAGCTGAATTGAATTTACTAACCCCTATTTTGTGTTGGACAAGGCCGTGGTCTAGGCAACACGGAGTTTTCCTCCGGGGGCTTCCCCGGTTTCTCCGTGGCATCCCATTCACACACAGAAGAAGGCAATGGCAAACCACTTCTGGATCATCTGCCAAGAACGTATATGAACAGGTCCCAGTCCGAGAAAAGGATGGAAGGATCCTGGTCATATGGACCTGTCCTCAGACAGAACACTAAAAATAAAAAAATAAATAATAATTGTTACTCATTTTATTAAGTTCGCGAAAACCACGAACGTGCCTGTAAAGTTCGGAGTAAATTTGTCAATGGTAGTTAAACTAAGCACCACGACATGCAGACGTGTGGGTAACTGTACGTATCAATTGCTCCACACACATTTATCAACATTAGATAGATGTGAATACTTTATCCTAGAAAACAATCCTGGTACCCATTGGAATCAGAAGCTTTTTGGGCCCCAGATCCGATCTGAACATTGTGTATATTCGGGAACCGAACCCTGGCCGTCCAACCTGTAATCTAGTTGCAGAATAGTGTCTGACCAAGAATTAACGCTCGAAATCTTGCGTAAACCATTTCCATTGCGTATACGTGAGTCGGCCATGATGCAGGTGCAGGAGGGAGGCGTCAGTCCGCGCCAGATTCTGTTTTGCGCTCAGACGGCAGTTGCTTTGGTGCTATTTAACTTTGATATTTGATACAACTGTGTTTTGCTTGTGGTAAGCATATGATTACCAATACGGAACTTAAAGAAAAATCTATTAAATGTTACCGTTCACTCACAGACAGCACCACAGCAGAATATTTTGCTTTGAGTTTGTGTTTACTCGGCGAAGAACTGAGTTTAGAGCCACGGCCTGTTTTACCGGTACTCTGAAGCCAATCGAGTCTCGGCGAAGAAAGTTGTCTTAACGCTTTTCCGAGAATGGCAACATATTTTTGGAAAGCTAAGAAGGCTATTGCAAGACTTATATGAATATATTTTTAAATTAGAAGGTAATTATTATGAGCACACCCATGTCTGTCTGTCTGTCTGTATCTTTTTTGCTGAGGTTTTCAACGTACATACTCTGGGATCGGTCTTCCTACGGGGGTATTCAACCTGCTGGACCTAACATTATATTAGTGCAAGAGTGGCATATGTATATACCGTTTGAACAACTTCAAAATGTCATTGTACTCCAAAGAGTATCCTCAATGTTTCCATTCTTCTTGTTGATAATATAGACGCATATGTGAATTCTAAGTGTTCAAACTATGTATTAAACATTAATAGAACATGTGGAATTGAGATGAATTTTAATATTATCCTGTCTTCTACTCTTAGGTCTTCCAACTGGTGAACTTCTCAAGTTTCCCGACTCTAAAGCCTCCCCCCCCCCACCGCTGCTAGTTGTCTGTCGCCTCTCGCTTCCGAAACAGTGGTGTCTCCACGCCTCAGCAGGTCGCAGTGGCTTACATGTACCCTGTGGTAATTACAGTCTTCACGGGTAACTAACCCCGACGGTAATATTAAGTTTAATGCTGTACCACCGTATAATGTCACTCGCATTCAACGCTGCAAGTGTTATGGAAGACTTCTAATATACGTCAGGGCACATTAAATCCGAGAAGGGCCAGAATAATCAAGGAGAGGGT